CTGACCAGCATCGAGGTGGAGCGTGAAGTCCCAAGGTGCACATGTATAGTACCAACACGCTGGCCACAAATGTATTCACAGATGGGAGGATGGGGCCAACAGGTGCCCACGTAAGTAACATTCACATAAAACATGAACAGCACAAATCCTGTTCCTGCTTGTCAGCTAATCACGCTTAAAATTTGCTAGCAGATCACACACGTTTCTATCCAGCATCCAGTCTTCAGAGCTGTGGTGTCTCCAACGTCTACCTCTCAGATCTCTTGTCTTTGTGGTTAGTCCAGCTTGAAGTTCACTAGTAGATCACACACACACACACACACACACACTCTTACAAAGGAAATAGTTTATGAAGAAGAACAAACTGCAGCAATCACCAGGCAAGTGTATTGACCAGGAGCCTGTTTACACATGATCAGCACCTTCTGTTACCTGCCTTTTTCCCATTTTCCTGATCTTGGTCTGCCCTGATCCTTCCTTTTACCTGCATTTATTCCTTCCCTAAATATCTTAGAAGTTTTACTCAGTTTCACAATCACCCTCAAACATCCTATGAGAAGTTTGCTATTTCAATGAGACCCATGATAGTCTTGGGGTTTTTTCTTATTATCAATTATATGGTCTTCTTATCAGCTACAAAGTTTCCAGCTGAACCTCTTAAATGTTGCACTAAAGCAGTTCCTTGCAATGGCCCTTCTATTAGCAGCTTACAAATTCCCGTGTTTGGTACTGGTTTTTAGGATTTGTGCATCTATGTGCTTAATTTATTGCCTCTCGTGAGTTTGTCTTTTATGTTGAGTAGCTATCAGCCAGATATCCCTAAAGTTGGAACTTTCTGGTTTACTTGTGGCCTTTCTGGCAATAGAGTGCTAGCAGCGTAATAAATCGCATTACAAAGCTAAGTAGGCATAACTGCCATTTTATACATGGAAAACAGAAAACAAGCAAAGCTCTGCTCACGAACTTTGGTAGCAAAGCAAACTAAGAGCCTGAGAACGATAAGCCCTAGGCCTGTTTTTTAACGACCAGCTCAGTCTACGGTGTCTTCTTCTTAATCAACAATATCTCCCTTCTTTTAATTCTATTTTTTAATAATTTCCCTTATTTCCCCTTCATAATGTCTTTGTCTTAGTCATACATCTGGTAACAAAAGGCAGTCCAGTTCTTTGATCGACCTCACCTCGGACAGTACCTGGGATCAGCAAAAGCCTCACTTGTTTCCTAAATCCTGCTTGAGGCCAAAAAGCGCTTCATCTCCCTGGATTCCTTCCATTACCATCCCTCAGCCCTTTGAAATGACACTGCGGGAAGCTCGCAAAAAGTCCCAGTTGATGAAGTCATACATGTTTCTTGAACTAGACAAAGAGAGAGACAAAAGGCAAAGCCAGGATGAAGCTGAATGTCAGAAACAATTCCGGGCACAACCTGTACCTGCCCATGTGTTTCTGCCCCTTTATCAGGAAATAATGGAACAGAACGAGATTCGCAGGCAAATAGCAACACGGAAAAGAAAGGAGCTGCTACTTGCAACCCAGCGGCCCTTCAGTTTCCTGGAGAAGGAGGAGAAAAAGAAAGAAGCTATCAGACAAAAGTTCCTGGCAGCAGCAATCCCAAATGAGAGCTCCAAACAGAAGCAAGCCAGTAAAAAAGTTCCTAAATCTACTTATGACGCACTTCTTGGAGATAAACTCAAAGGTAAAAACTCCCTGCCAGTCCCTTCTTATCTCCATGCTGGAAAGTAGGACCATGACCCATAGGGCGTTACTTGGAGTGTAAAGCCAATATCATTACATCCCCTGGTGTTGTCTAGTCTCCTGTGTATCACCGGTCATCATGTTTCATCTAGATACCCTTACAGCAGTGTCCTAAATTTAGTAGTCTTGTATCAGTATCATCAGCAGCAGCAGTTCTGTACTACTCCCCAGCACACATGGGTACATTGAGCTCTTCAGACAGATTTCCATACCCCTTTTGCCACAAATCACGACAGTTTGGGAATCCTTCCCTATACCTTTGGTTATGCTGAAGGGACTTAGATGATTTGTGGCACAAACGTGAAGACAGAGGTAGTGCCAGAAGCGTCCAAGGTCCATGCAGTATCTTGGAACTGACAATTTTACTCCCACCCAAGTGATCTGTGCTGCATAGGATCCCTAGGAGAAAAATATTTCCTGAGCCCAAATCAGGCAATTAGTTTGGTTCTAAATGATAGTGCAGTAGTCCAGTCTCTCCTGCCATTCTCTGACGTTTTCAGTTAATCTTCCCACTGGCTCTCCACCTTCTTATTAAGTGCTAAAACAGGGGATCATTCTAGTCAGAGGGACAGCTAAGGAAATTTTCCTGATGCTTGCTTTCTTTCAGGTGGCTTAAGCCCCAACAGTTTTAAGTTTGAAGTAAGCAATATAGACTTCACACTTGAATGTAGGAACTAAACCAGTCCTTGATAATCCTCACTGTTTTTCTCACCCCTTTCTTTTTTTTACTATTTCCCACTGATTTCTTCTTGAGTATACACCAGTTCAGTTTTCATCAGAAAACATTCTGTTGTGGTGCACTAAACTAAATAGATTAGAAAGGTAAAAGAGAGCAAAGGACAAGCCATTGTTCTGTTTCTATCTGGTATATGAGAAAGGAGAAGGAGTAAACATTTCATACCTCAGTCAAGGCAAACTTATAAATAGACTCAAAGTCTTATTTTGCAAACAGCAGTATTTGCAAACAGCAGCCAACTATTTGTCTGCATTTTCTCAAATATTTAGTGCTGCACAGGAAAGGGCTCAGTTTGACGCTATACCCTGAAACACATTCTTTCTATGGAAATTTTGTCACAGAAGTCACAAGACATGATCTATCCACCAAATGCTCCTTACTTAAAATCTTTTCCAATATAGACAAACACGGCTGGATATTACACAGAAAAGCCATCATCTGTTACAAGTATATTTGAACAGCCCATTTGGATCACACAGTCAACATAATGACATAAAGTCCCATAAGAAAAGTAGAACCTTGATTAACACAACAGGTCTGCAAGTCAAAGGGCACAAGTTATCTGGTAGCCCTAAGAACAGGAATAGGAGGAGAAGGCCTGTTCAGTAACTTGCTCTGACACGTGAAAGAGATATCTAGAGATTAATGCCTAAGAAAGAGACTCTACCATGTTTTCTTCTGGTATCTTTGAATGTTTTTTTTCCTGGGAGGCAGAGGAGAGAGAGAGGCTGGAAAGTGGGGAAAGAGAACACAGGATGTCTGGTCTCTCCTGTACGTGTAGCTGCCATTGTTTAGAGTTGTGCAGTGGCAATTTCACAGCCTTTTATGTCACTCATATTCTTCTCATTGCTTTGCTTTTGATTCATTAGAAGCTGAACTCTACAGAGAAATCCGCATTCAAATGAGAGCCAAGGATTTGCTTGAGAGCTCTGTAGCTCTTATAGATACTAGCAACTGTCGGAGGGAGCCTCAGTCCCGAACTGCCACTAAAACTAAGCAGGAGAGACTTGGCTTCTTGCAGGACAAAAGTTTCAGCTTCAAGCCAAGGATTAATCCAACAATACCGGATTTTGAAGGACTTTACTGGGCATTTCAGAGGGAAGCAATAAGGAGACAAGAAATCAAAGAGGCAACTCATAATAAGCCATTCAAGCTAAGAACCTCCAATCTCCGTGGCAGGCAGAGGCAGGCTAATGAAAAAATAAAGGTGAGATGACTGGATATTTCTGTGGTACTGCTTTCTCCGATCAAGATAGCAACTTCTTAAATTTATAGCACTTATTTATGGATGGTTAACGTCCTGTGACCTCTGCCCTTGTCTTGGGAGTACTGCAGAATTCTAGGACAAACCAGAGAAAAAAATTCTACACAAAGAAATGAGCTATGACAGCTAAGGCTCAGCCACCCTTCCATACTCCTAGTCACATCTCCTTCCCCTCACCCCTCAGCCCCTTCCCAGGTAAATCCCTACTGATGGAAGAGTGAAGAATGAGTGCGTTGCCCACACACCCCAACTGTTCTCTTTGGTAGACAAAGAACAAAGGAGATTCTGTACTGTGAACAAATACATTGAATGAAGTTCCTCTTTTTTCAGGATTCTCAGCAACTTTCCAAGGTTTCAGTGCAAAAAAGTCATTCTCTGACCGGACTTTCCTCTCTCTCTTCCAACACCCTTCCAGTGCATATTACAGATGCAGCTAGAAAAAGGGAATCTGCTATCAGGTAAGTAGAAAAGTTTGTCTACAAGACAAACCAACTAATGATCAAAATGGAGGAAAAAAGTCAATGTTTTCCCCCATCACATCAACTACATCAACAATACTTTTCCTAGATGTTTCTCTGTCTTCTTTCTTTGCTAATTCTTGCCCTGCCTCCCAGTTGATTTGGGAGCTGCACACTCGTATGTCTGAAATTTTGCTTTTCTCCTTAGAGGACTACAAAACTGAAATTCCCTCTGGCATGTGGTCTGGCAGTCTCAAGGGAGCTCATTAATAACTTTTTTCTATATAGATACTCCCAAGATAACAAAAAGGAAGGGGACAAAGAAGGAATTTATTGGCTGGAGAAACAGAAAAAGAAATGTCAAGCTATCCAAAAGTCAGTGAACAGCCGAGCAAAAGCCCTGGATCCGCATAAAAGTCTGGAGGAAACACACAAGGAGAAGTCAAAACAGAACCGGTCAGTATCCTATTCTGCACAGAAATTACACACATTTGCTCTACTAACTGGGGATCGTCAGATAATTCTTTAGGAGGAATTGGGTCTAAGAACATTCCTAGCCTAACTTTTTTGGCTCTCATACCCATTCCACATTCATTTGAGTTTCTTGACAATTCCACGCTACTCTTTCCATACAGAACAGTTTCCTTTAGATTAACATTTGTAGAAACTGATTTTTACAACCAAGCCAACTGAAATATATAATTTGGTAAAGCACACATAAGACAAGGTTTTCTAAAAACGTGAACATTAGTTCTCTGCCTACATTCTAGTAAAGCTTTGCTAATGGGTCCATAACTTGCCAGCAATAGCAGTGTTTTGCCCAGCATTCGGAATCAAGACAATTACCAGAGCTATTTAAAGGACAAAACAGTTACTGAGAATTCCTCATTCCTGATCAGCTACAATCAGAAGGAATATGTATTAGACAGGGAACTTTTCCATTTCAGGCAAAATATGAGAGAGAGAACAAAGGAATACAGAAAGGAGCTGGAAGAAATGCAGCTGCGAGTCAAGAACAGACCATACCTCTTTGAACAGGTCACCAAGGTAACTGGTCAAAGTTCCAGAGTGTTTCTGGGTGACAGGATACATTGTTTTCATTTAAGACAGGCATTAAGAAATCTAGTCTCAAGTTAATTCACGGATAAGAAGGTACAAATGGTTGCATAGTCTCTTGACTACACTTAAAATAACACCTGGAAGGCCACCCCAAAGTATAATTTAAATTCCTTCCCACCACTTGAAAAAACAGTCAGACTTATTTCTTGATTGTAGAGCTTTCTAGTCCCTAGTATAAATTGCAATCAAAATATATGGCCTGATCAAAATTAAGGCCTTATCACACCAGAAATTATATGAATACTTACTCCACACCTGAATACCATAGCCTACAGTCTAGACATTTTAAACTTTTTTTCTTAAAACCCTCTCCAGTTGAGCACTTTTTCTTTGTACTTCTAGTGCTACTAGAAAAACATTAATAACAGTTATGTCACTTATATCACCTGCAAGCTCTGCTATCTAGGGTTGCGTTGAGCACATCACATCCATCACTCAGTACCATCTGCAAATCTATATTGTACTTGAGGTGTAGATACAATCTTTACTCTTTACAAAGTATCTTTTTCCCTGGGTTTTCTCTTTCAGTTCTGTCTCCTGCAGGGATGATATCTAGTTAGAGACATAGTGACAATACATTGACAACATGCTGATTTAAGATTTGTCAATAGAAAGTACCCTCCTGGGTCAGACTTTCTGTTCAGATGAGTGGTTAATAGAGGCAGAAAACACATTTTGTGATAAATATTGGAAACATTTCTGTTTGCCACATTGGTAAGAATTCACCAGTATCAACAGCATTCACTCATGTTGAGACAAGACTTCTATCCTTCCACATAGAACACCTTAATCTTTAGGAACCGGCCAGTCCCTCTGGAAAACCGCCATCTCAGACTACATTAATTTGCAAGGTTTATTGGGAGGCAGTGAGGATATAGGATCCAGGATACTTGGTTTTCATTTTCTTGAAGATGAGCTGATACGAAGCTATTTCACAGGTGCCCTCCGTTTATTGAACTCCACTGTCATTAGTGCTTACAAATTACAAGCAAACATGCTTCCAGAATTTCTCACAACCCTTTTTTGCACATATTCTCAATCTGAGTGTCCCAGTCAGGACTCGGACACAAGTATGCTAGTCTGGTAAGACTGGAATGCTGTAGAAACAGGAGAACAGAAGAAGGAAGAAAAAGAACAGAAGCAGGGAAAGGTGAGCTCTGGCTTTGAGAGATGTGAGACATTCTCCTAGTATTCAGTTTTGGTACTGTACTGTATGGATGACAAAAATTCTGGACAGGGGCTTTGCTGTCCTCTTGTTCTCATTAGGAGCATCAGCCATGAACTTTAAAACAACTTGACCATTATGGGGAAGCCCCAGTTCTATGTGCTTACTGTTTAAGTTTCAATTTCATAGCGTGATGCTCGTCAAGGAGCAGAGCGTCGCTACAGACAAACCCTCCAGCAGGTTGGGCTAAGCGAAGAATTTGTAAGGAAAAAAGGGAAAGATGCCACTGACTTGCTGGAAGAAGAATCTGACGTTCACAGGTAATAAAACCAATGCAATACAGCTCTTTTGCCTTTGAGTAGAAATACTTTCCTTGTTCATGAAAGCATTCCAGTTTGTATCATCTAGTGCAGCAAAATTAAATCAACTTCACTCCTCTTATTAAGCATCATGGCTTCTCTATCTTAACTCCTACAACTGCACTCTATTTCTTATGCATGGGGCAAAGCAGGAAGTAAGCACTGCAAACTATTTCCGGTATTAGACAATCACTATTTCTGCAGAGCGCCCAAGCCTCGGGGTGAAAAGGATGACTCTACCATACAGGAAAGAGAACCTCAAGAGGAACAGAGCGGAAAGGAAATGGCAGCATGAGATCTAGCAGAAGAATCCATTGATCATCTCTTGATTTTTTTTTTAATTCAAGATTGTCCAGGTTAAGCCTCGGGAACTTTCTGGTTTAGGCTGACACCTAAGAATTGCTCTGGGGTGAGATGTGAGAACTTAGTAAAGGAAAAAAAGACCAACTGTTGTTTAGAGCATGTCTTGTCCAACCCAGCAAACCCTGCAGCCTTCCTTAGCCTTCACAAGTGTTCCCTGTGTAAGACATTTCTCTTTCTTTAATGGGAAACAAAACAAGTTAAGAAGGTTGAAGCAGTATCTTTGGATAAAAGTAGATATGAACAACTGAAGAGGTACATCCTCTAGTGTCAGCTCCTTGTTCATGCCACAGAAGCACACAGAAGGGGAGACTGCTTTTACACATATATGTGGTAGAATGCTTTTAAACAAGGTATTTTTAAAAAAAAAAATTGCAGGATTTGACCTACCTTGGGAGAAGACTCAGAGAGAAGTCCTTCTCTGGTATTAACTTTTCATTCACTCATTACCAGCTCTGCTCCTTCCTCCCATTGCGAAGAAGCAATAGTCTTTCTATATTAAAATATCTCCATATCTTCATTGTTTGAAACTGTTTTAACATCTTACCAATTTAGGTCATTAATTTTGCCTGAAAACCAACCAAAATTATGAAGAAGGTTGCAATTAAACAATGCATCACTTTGGATTGCTGTTGTCCAATTTTACAATTACTGTGATATGAAAGATGGACCTTGGTGGAAGAAAAATTAGGTATTACCTGTCAGCATGTTGCACTCAAATGCCAGGGGCATCTTAAATGGTATAGTTCACACATTCGTGGTCTTCCTTTACCTGACAGTAATAACAATCTCAAAAATACAAACCCTTACCACCTGGAATGTTTTCCGAGAATTATGATATGAAAGCACTTTGTGATTAAAAGATTTTTAAATGGCTATCAATGTTTCTGCATTGTCCAATTTCTTTATAAATCATCTTTTTCTTACTTTTTAAATGGAAACTGTGTCTCTCTTCATCTTTGTTACCTCAATCCATTTCTCCTTACACTGTAACAACAAAACCTCGTCATCAAATCAGAAATACAGTACCTGTAAGGGCTACCACATTAGATAAAGATATAAAACGGAGACCATGACATTTTTGATCGTAACAAAGTACTAGATCCAAGAATTTATGGCCCTGGGGTTTCAGGCTCTGTTACACTTCCACAGAGATCAATTCATGCTGATACATAGCTGAATGCATTTGGTTGCAGCAGTCCTCCTTACTGACCCAAAGAATCTCCAACAAATCTAAGTTAGGCTTGTATTTTTACCTTTTTCCTCCTTTTCCTGTTGAAGAACTTTCTACACAATGCAACTACTGAATGCTGTGTCACAGGTTGAAATGCAGCCCTTTACCAAAGAAATTCCCAACGGGTTGGAAATACTTCCGTCACTGTAGAGGCTTTCCACACTGAGAAGGGGCTTAAGCACCTGGGAGTGTTCAAGGAAGGCTGTTATCAGCGTACCAGTTTCTACATAGGTTTAATTGTGTAGGACACACAAAGGCTGTTCTTTCTCCTGTATCCCCTGGAAAAGAGCAGTGATGTAATCCTACTGTCACTATGCCTTGTCACATTGAAAGAGGATGGAAAGAAGATTTCCTCCATACTCCAAGTCTGTGGTCTAAAGCCCATTGGGCTTGTATGGATATATCTGGAGCAGTTAGAGGGAAATTTTAATACATACATTTTAAGGGGTATTTACTAAAATTGTTTAATACTTTCCATAATAATACTTGATGATGCTGGAAAAAGAAATTTGCAAGTATGTGAAGTGTAAAGGAAAACCTTAAGAAAGGAGGAACAAAGGCTTGACTTTAAATTAATATATGATATTATGCCATATCCCTTCAACAAATACTAAGGTGACATGCATGAATACAGTAACACATAAATCCAAGTCTTAATATTCAAAAAAGAAATTGCTGAAATGGTGATGAAAGTAAAAGCATCAAACTAAGTAACTGAAACTCAATAGCACCTTTCTTGCTAAACAAAGTGTTGTTCTGAAAGTAGGATTACATTTCTGTAATCCTAAAAGAGATTTGTAATCTCTTAATATATCTCAAAAATGGTATGAAAATAAAGAATTTCCAATTTTGCTCTGGATTTTTGCATTTTATGAAAATATTTTGTTATTTTTCGTTAAAAGAATTACAGCCTGTTCAGCTGACCAGTAAAAATACTGTAGTAAAGAAGACATCTCACTAGAGCATCTCCCATCAATTTATGAGATGGTAGCCAAACAACAGATCCTGATTCAGAGGTACCTGATGAAGCTTCTGCAAGAACCTCCAAATTACAGTACCTTTAATGACAGCAGCACTACCTTTACGTTCAGCTAGGGAGCAACATATTCTCTTCATATAGGAGGCTATTATAGACGTGTAGTATCTTAGCAAAACTCTGCATTCTTAATAATCCCAATTCTGAAGACACTCTCTAAGTTAACAAAAATTCAAGACATCTACATGGTAGGCTCATTTAAAGAGCTTGATATACCAAACAAATTTTGGAGGAAAAAGTGACTGGGGAAAGCAGGAAAAGAACACAGCAAATGTAATTAAATGATATCAAGTAGTACATTTATTTCAGATAGTAAGTCAGCTTCCGACAGTGAGATGTATTAGAATATAGTCTCCGAAGGTAAAGGATGGAAGGAAGGCCTGTTGCTCAAGATACTGCATGTTCATACAGTGCCTAGCACAATGAGGTCCCGGTCCTTAACTGGGGCTCCTAGGTGCTCCAGCAAAACAAACGCATTAGGCTTTAGGAGAATGGACTGCATAAACAGTTTTGAAATGGCGTTCCACAACATGGGCTAAATGACACCTAAGCAGCAGACTTCACCTTTTAAGCTCTGCAAGAGAGAAACTTGGTCCAGTAGGTCTTCTCCAACTCCAGTTTTATGATTCATTCTCCATCTACCCACCCGCTCTGTGCACAGTTAAAGCAATGTTCACTTGTCCCACTCCAACATGGTGAGCCTCTAGGAGGAATGATTGATCCCACTTCAGTCACCACATATAAGAGGGCGGAAAAAAGAGCAGCTGGTCTCACCCTCCTCTACTCCAATAATAGACTCAGTGTCTGGCAGGTGCAGAGACTCAACACCAAGGCTGGGCTGAGAGTTCATGGAGATGAGATTCTTACTATGCACTGTAGATTCTTCCAGCAAACTGCTGCCCATCAGTGACTCTATCGTGAAAAAAAAAAAGGGTAAAACAAAATTCTCATGGTGTAATGACACTGCAATATACGATACAATCCCTGCCCGCCTCCAAGTCACATAGACTTCCTCCCTAGACACCTACTTTATCCGTTCCTACTCTTTGGGCATCCAGTGCTCCAATGGATGGTAACTCCTATATTTATTGTTTTGAGCTTTAGTATGGTGGGATCTCATGCAGGCTTGGCTTTTTCTTTAAATAAATCACATTGCATAAAAAAAACAGGCTTCTTACAACAAGAATACATAATGAAGGGCACAAATTCCATGTGAAGAAAGGTACCAGATTCATGTTAATTTTGAAAACTATAAACCTATCTGCCCCTTGACCACAACACAGAAATACACCTTTGTCTTCTATCCTGCAAAAGAGGAGGGTGAGCAATCCATCCTCATCTCCAAGAGGAACAGTCTTTTATTGCTTGCTGGCTTGTGGTCTCGTATTTTCAGGACAAACATCTTCCCTTCTCTTTGACCATCCACTAACTCTTTCCTGAACTTCTCCCCCCCAGAGAGTGCCCTCCCTTCCTTACCTGGCTGTTCTCGCTCTCTGCTGCCAGCTGTTCCAATTCGGGAGTGGTGTTTTCTCATATGCACATTTCTGCTACCACTCTGGGAAAATGTCTTCCCACAAATTTGGCACTGATGGGGCTTCACTCCTTGGAGTAGAAGGGGGAAAAACATCCCAAGAATTACCAAATTGGGAACAAAGACCTCATCAACCAAGAAGCCAATAATGCTGTTTTGAAATGGCTGTTGACAGCATTGGTGCTAATTATCAGTGAAAAAAGCAAATGAGAAATATTCCTGTTTCCTGGAGAGCAATAAAATTCTAGAACAGAAAAGTTTTAGGTATCAGTATTGCCAGCTGTTGGAAATCTCAAGTCTGAAGAGTAACATAAAGTCTTCAAGTCTGATTTATGAGAGGGAACAAGTTATTTGGAATCTCTTATTCAGTGATATCGAAATACTTGATGTCCCATACCTACAATAAAATGACCAAAGGCAAGGAAGCAGAGGCAAGGAAGCTATCTCCTGCCATCACACAACAAATTGCAGCATCTCATTTACATTACTGAGTAGTGATTGGATGATGACTTGTCACTGTGAAAGGATTTCCATTTTACAGAGCAGTCTGTCATTTTCACAATACAAGTATGATGTCCATAGGTGTGAGCTCAATAGCATGGAAGCCAAGGAGACAGGAAAGAAAAAGCGTGGAGAACTCAGGTAATCCCAAAAGTTACTACCCCAGTAAAATCTTCCTTTCCCCAAACAAGCCATATTCATTATGTGCTGATGATATTTAAGATAAATCAAGCAAAACAGAAGGCAGGAGCTTTGAAACACTTGTGAAATACATTTCCATCTAATGCTTTGTCCAATTACAAGTATATAGTATTAAAAAATAAAGGAAAACCCTACCTATGGCAGAAACCCACTCATGAGAGATTTCAGATTTGAATGGCTTTGATTAATATATAGAGGTGCTAGATTCTCTCTTTTAAATAAAAAAATGGCAGCTACGAAACAGATATACAACTTCATGACATTTTAGAAACAATTTAAAAAATAAATTTTAAAACTGTAATTTGAATTTAGAAACATAAAATTTAAAAACAGAAACAACAGAAAAGATTAAGGTGTACAGGCTACAGGCACCACAAAGAAAGTCGTGAAACACTATGACCAGAAGTCCTGTAGAAACCAGGGGATTTTTCT